TATAGCTGCGCTGGACGTACCTGTTTCTACGAGATTGGCTCGCCGAAGTACGTAAGCATCGGCACTGTAACTTGGTTGCTCGAAGTCGCTCTTTTTGAAGTCGATTATAAATTCGCTCATTTCTTTTAGTTACGGTCAGCTATAGGTGGTTGCAGCTATGTGCGATTGCTTATAGCCTACTTATACTGCGCGCGACTCGGAACGCGCTATCAGTCGCTGCTGGCATTGTGTACTATATATCTATATCCATATACAGATAAACAACAACAATAAATGGCTCGAATTTTATTTGTATCACACACAAGGATTGGTTCAATTTCTGTGTTTATGGTAAACAGTATTATTATATATTATTGTGTGATGTATGTAGTCATCAAAATTCTAGTGATATGTCAAAGAGGGATTCCACAACATCTATTTTTTTTTTTAAAGTAAGTGTATATTAGACCTCTCGTCATGTACAGATAGAGCATACATTCTTATATTGTCTATGTTTATGTGTAGTGGAATATGTATATTCATGAAGTGAAATTCATGTAAATAGTAATCATTCATGAAGTATATATACAAACACACTGTCCAAAGCGCCCAAAAGTTCCACCGGCAATAGGCGGTGGGGTCAATAAAAGCACAACTGTATAAAGCGCATATTCCAGTCCTACGATGGCGCAGCCTCCCGCTGATATGGCGTCGTCCCTCACGTGCCAAACAGCGGCCACGCCGAACGATCTGACGCTGTCCCCAATCCCCTTAGAACCACCCGCACACCCATCCCAGTGTACAAGCCTGGATTCGCAGCGTGATATAGCGGGCGCTGAAGTGAACGCTGAATCCGGTGTGCAGGGCGCGCCGTTTCTGGATCGCATGGCGTTGAGCCAGCTGGCATCCGAATCGGTTCCTTCTGGTATGTGTACAACGACGTCATAGTGTTGATTTAAACTGTTGTTTTGTGTTTGTCTGTGTACATTGCGAGGAGAGAACGTATTGCCTGCGCAGCTTGTGCGAGCGCACTTCCCTCCAAAACCGTTTTGTGCATCGAACGGAACGCTGGAAGAGATAAGCGCAAGCGGTGTGTGTGTGCGGGTGTGTCTGTTTCTGTGTCTATGTAAATGTATGTATCTGTGCCTGTGTTTGTGTCTGTATGAA